GGTCCCTGGGGAGCCCAAGGCCCTGCAGCCAGGGGCCCGGGGGGTACCTGCGAACTGGCGCTCGGCAGTGCCGCGGGAGCCGAAACGCGCCACCAGCTTCCCGTTGGGCTGGAAGATGAAGACGCAGCACGCCTTGTTGTCCACCACGATGATGTGCCCGTTGCGGTCCACGGCGACGCCCTTGGGGCCCATCAGCCGCCCCGCACCCAGCTTCGTCTGGGGGAGGCAGGGGGTCAGGCTGGGCAGTGCTGTGGACACACAGCCCCACAGACCCCCCCCAGACCCCCTGCTTCCTTTTCCCTCACCTTGAACTTGCCCTCAGGTGAGAACACGCTGACCCAGCGGTTGTCGTAGTCGGCCACGATGATGTCACCATTGGTGTCCACAGAGACCCCGGTGGGGCGTTGGAGCTGCCCCGGGGAGCGCCCCCGCACCCCGAAACGCAGCCGAAACTGCCCCTCGTTACTGAAGACCTGGGGGAGCAGCAGGGCCGGGGGGGTCAGGGGGAGCACCCCCACACCCCAAAACACAGCCAGAACTTCCCCTCATTACTGAACACCTAGGGGGGCAGCAGGGTCAGGGGTGTCCCAGGAGAGTCAGTGGGTGTCCTGGGGGAGTTTGTGGGTCTAGGTGGGCCTGTACCTGCACACATTGGTTATTGCTGATGGGGCCAGTGGGGTCATGGGGATCCAGGGGTACCCAGGAGGGTGTTGGGGGAGGTCAGTGGGGACCCCAGGGGTCCACGTCTGCATGCATTGGTTGCTGCTGTTGGAGTCAGAGGGGCAGGGGGGGATTCAGCAGGGGTCAGTAGAGTGTCAGTGGGGGTCCCAAGGAAGTCTGGGAGTCCCAGGGGGGTCCGTACCTGCACGCACTGGTTGTTGCTGTCAGCCACGACGATACGACCGGCGCTGGACGTGGAGATCCCCTGCAGGTTTGTGAACTCGCCCTTCTCCCGGCCGCGGCTACCTGAGAGCACCGGTCAGGGGGGCACAGGGGGCCCCAGGAGACCACTCACCATCCCAGTGAACCCCTGCCACCTCTGGGGCCCTCCACCACACTAGGGACTCCCCCAAGGGAGCCTGGGGGAGCCCTGAGGAGTCCCTGCTGCTGTAGGGAGCCCTACCACCCTAGGGAGTCCCCTTTGTCCTGGGGAGCCCCGAGAAGGTTCTCCTGCTGTGGGGAGCCCTGAGGAGCTCCCCACCACCCTGATGAGCCCCCCCCACCCTGGTGAGCACCAAGGTCCCCCCCAAGCCACCCGCTCACCGACACGGAAGATGAGCTCGTCCTCGATGGGGTTCTCCTTGCGCTTGGCGCTGCCGTACATGCTGGCAGGGCGGCGCAGGGCTTTCTGCCGCACGTGCCCCCCGCCGGGGGACTTGACGCGGCGCTTGGCCTCCTCGGGGGACGGGGGCACGTCGCCGGGGCGCAGGGCGCGGGCGCGGAAGGGGGAGCCGCGCACGGGCTGCCCGTACAGCAGGATGGACAGCACGAAGTCACCCTCGGCGCGAGGCGTGTACACCAGCTCGTAGGTGCCGTTGCGGTTGTCCTGCACCTCGGCCTCGGCCGCGGCGCCGTCGGGGCCCGTCACGGCGAAGCGCAGGCGGGCGCCGCCGCTGCGCACCAGCGCCCCGTCCTTGTCCTTGGTGGTGACGCTGAGCGAGCAGGGCTGGCCCACCACGGCCTGGCGCAGCCCCTCGCCCGTGGCCACCGTGGTGTGCGCCGTGGCGCTGGTGGTCAGCAGCGAGCCCAGGTTCTGGATGGAGCGGCGCAGCCCCTCGGGCTCGGCGCGGAACTCGAGCTGCGCGTTCTCGTGAGGGTGCTCGGGGAAGGGCCGCGCCGCCAGCTCCCGCAGCCGCTCGCCCATCTGCTTCTGCACCAGCAGCACCTCTGTGGCCGAGCCGTGGTGCAGCGCCTGCTCTGTGAACGCACAGCTGCTCAGGATGCTCTCCTGGCCCTGCCGCAGCACCTCCAGCTGCGCCTCCAGCACCTGGGGGGGAACAGCATCTGTGATAGCAGGTGGGACCCACACCCAGCACCCACACCTGCATCGCTGTCTGCACCCCAGCCCTGGCCCGGCCACAGCACCTCCAGCTGCACCTCCAGCGCCTCTGGACATGGCACAGCTCTGTAACATTGGGGCAGGACCACCACACCCAGTACCCCCAATCAATGCCCCTCCTGCATCCCCCACCTGCACCTGCACCCCAGCTGTGGCCACGAGCCCAGCTCTGGTGCTGCACTGGGACCCCAACTGCCGCACTGGTGGTTCCACCGGCACTGGGGCACGGCTGGGGCATGCACACCCTCCCAGGAAGGGCTGGCAAGGGGTGCAGAAGCACAGAGGAGGGGCACATGGGGACAGGTGCATTACCTGCTGCTTGGCAGCACAGGTGGCTTCCAGGTCGCGCAGCAGCACCTCCCGTCGCTGCCGCAGAGCTGCCTCCAGCTCCTCGAAGCTGCTCCCAATCTCAGCCTCGGCCTCGGCACGGCGCTGCCCCAGCTGCCGGCTGATCTCGGCCACCAGCCCCACAGCTGCTGCAAGCTGAGGGAGCCTGGGGGGACAAGGGGAGCCCCTGAATGCCTCCAGACCTCCAACTCCCTCTTCCAGCACCCCTAGCCCCACAGTGCTTCCCCAGCTGATCTCAGCTACCAGCCTCACTGCCGCTGCCAGCTCTGGGAGCCTGGGAGAATATGGGGACCTCCTGAACCCCCAAAGACCTCCACAGCACTCCCAGCAACCATCAGCTAGCTGCAGGAGGTTGCAGGACTAGGATGGTAGGGGACCCCAGACCCCCCTGGACCAGCCCCAGTCCCTTACAGCCTTCCTCCCCCCAGTACCATGTGTGGTGACACCGAGCTGGTACTGCAGCCTGAGGGAGCGGGGCCGTGGGATCCCCATGCACTCCCCAGTCCCCATACCTGGCACGCACAGCATCGAGCTGGTGCTGCAGGGCCGCCTTGTGCTGCTCCAGCACATCCCGCAGTGGCACCGTGTGGTGGTCCCGGTGCTCCCGCCGCTCCCCCTCCGTGCACTCCCGGCACATCGCTGTCTCGCAGGTCTCACAGTAGAACTCCATCACCTGCCACACCTGTGCTCGTCAGCTGCCCCCCGCCCCAGCCCATGGGGCCTTGAGGCCCCCTGAACCCCCTCCTGAGCCCACACAGCTCCCACAGTGTCCCCCAGACTCCCTGGACCACTGTAGCCCCCCCATGCCCACCCTGGACTCCCCCTCCAAGGCCTGCAGCCCCCCAGACCTCTTTGACCCCCACAGATCCCCACAGCCCCTCCCGTTACCCACAGGCCCCCCAGCCCTCCCCAGATCCCACACCCCCTGAGCCCCTCCAGCTCCTGCAGACCTCCAGTCCCCCCTGCACCCTCAAGCCCTCGAGCCCATATAGCCCATTGCAGGCCCCTCAGCCCCCCCAGACCCCACCTTTCCCTCGTGGTTGGGGCAGCAGAGGGGCTGCCCGGTGGCGGCGCCCAAGGGGGGCAGGGGCGCAGGGGGGGCCCCACGGGGGTCGGGGTCCCGCTGCAGCACCTCCATCAGGTTGGTGATGAAGAAGTTGTTGGGCAGTGCTGGGACCCCCCGCTCGGGCAGGATCGAGGTCTGGCGGCACACAGGGCACGACAGGGACAGGCTCTGGGCCGGGATGTAGTTCTGCAGGCACCTGGGGTCACAGGGGCCATGGGGGTCACAGGGGCCGTGGGGTCACAGGGGTCAGGGGGCACAGAGAGCACAACAAGGACAGGCTCTGGGCCTGGAGATAGTTCTGCAGGAGCCTGGGGTCACAAGGGGTAACAGGGGGCAGGGCAGGGGTAACCCAGGGCTGGACAGGGATAGGCTCTGGGTCAGGACATGGAGGGGGCAGGGACAGGAATGGGGTTTGTAGGGGTACATGGGGGAAAACAGGGTGACAGAAGGGGGGGACAGATGGAGGGACAGCAGGATGGGGATGGAGCGGTGGGATCTGCTGGGGATGGGAGTGGGGGCAGAACAAGGGAACAGAGGGACAGATGGATGGACAGGGAGACAGAGAGATGGATGGTGGAGGTGAATGGGGGACAGAAGGGGGGACAGGGACTGTGGGACAGGGGCAGAGCCATGGGGTTGGGGATGGGCAGACAGACAGGGGGTCAGGATGTGGAACAGGGGCACAGGGACAGAGCTAGGGACAGGCAGTGGCAGGGGGACAG